GGGTTATTAGGGTTATTAGGGTTTAGTGTTTACGTTTTACTGTTCACAGTTAATTGTGTAGTGTCATATATGCATAGTGTCTAGGGTTTAGGGTTTAGGGTTTAGGGTTTATTATGTAGTACCTAGGGTTTAGGGTTTAGGGTTTAGGGTTTAGGGTTTAGGGTTTATAATACCTGAATCTGAGTTCTCTCATAGCAGTTTTCCAGAGTGCAAGAATTCTCCATTTGGTGAAAAATTTAAAAAAGTTTAATTGTATAAGCGAAGCAAAAACTTTTTGGTATTTTTGCCATTTATAAAGAGAAAAATAATCTATTTCTTTTTTATAATTATAATGTAAAACACCACTGCTAGAAAGAGTTAAATAATCTCGAGGGTTTATGCGGTCGTATGATACTATCTCGTAGCTGTATGGGCCTATCCTATACACATAAACCCTAAACCCTAAACCCTAAACCCTAAACCACAAACCCTAAACCCTAAACCCTAGACACTGATCCATAATGGTTTCACAAGGATCGTGATGCATATGCAAGGGAATGATGTAATTTACCCAAATCGTAAACCCTAAACCCTAAACCCTAAACCCTAAACCCTAAACCCTCCATAGAGTATTCACAGTTTCACTACCAGGCATTGGGGTTTACAGTTTAGGGTTTAGGGTTTCGGTGGATTGACACAGCAGCACAACAAACGATACAGCAGCAGCAGCAGCTACAGCAGGAGCAGCAACAACAGCAGCAGCAGCAGCAACAGCAGCAGCAGCAGCAGCAGCAGCAACAGCAGCAACAGCAGCAGCAGCAACAGCAGCAGCAACAACACCAGCAGCAGCAACAACGGCAACAGCAGCAGCAGCAACAGCAGCGGGAACGGCAGCAGCTGGAGTTGCTGCAGCTTGAAATGCAACAATAGCAGCAGCCACATCTATACAGCCACCAGCAGCAACACATTCAATCCTAGCAGCAACTGCAGCAGCAGCAGCAGCAGCAACTGCAACCTTAGCTGCTGCAGCAGTAACCGCAGCCCCAGCAGCAGCAGCAGCAGCAGCTGAAACCTCATCTGCAGCAGCAGTAACGT